CGTTACCAGCAGCAGCGAGCCGCCGGCCAAGACCGGATCGGTGCTGACGGTTTCCGCGGCGGACGAGAGCAAAGGCACGCAGTGCGGCGTGCCGCCCCTGTTTCCGCGGCCGGAAACCAGGATCGTCGGCGGCAAGGACGCGCCGTTCGGTCGATGGCCTTGGCAGGTGTCCGTGAGACGCACCTCGTTCTTCGGCTTCTCCAGCACGCATCGCTGCGGCGGCGCGGTGCTCAACGAGAACTGGATCGCCACCGCGGGACACTGCGTGGACGAGTGAGTTTCGATCGGAGAATTTGTTTACCGGTCGCCGCGTTTTAGGAAATCGCTGCTTCTCTTTCGATGGAGGATTTTAGTGGATTTGGGAAGTTGAACGGAGTTTTATTGAGATTCGAGTGTATTGGATTCTGGTCCTTGAAGGTTTGGAGAGATAACCCTTTGCGGAAGACTGTTTAAAGTACACGAAGCGACATGAAGCTGAATTTTACATCGAATGCTTGAACGATAATAAAGGGAACTATACTGATCACTTGATATTCTATTAATTCGTTTGCAACTTAGTATTCCAGATATGAACATTTCATCTGAAATGTTGAGTCCGCAAAGGGTTAATAGTGATACTAGAATATTAACAGAGATTCATTGCACTGTCTTTATCTTTGAATCGCTTCCCAAAGTCCCATTGAAAAATCCCTCGAATTCCTCGAGATCAACTCCGTCAACGCCACTACCAAACAATTACCACCGCATAAATCCAGAGTCGCAACAGCTGGATAATGCTCTCGCGACTAGTTGTACTCCGACGTTATTCCGAGATGAGTCTATTAATTAGCGGGTACGCTAAGCAGATAACGTAATCGTTGCCTCGCATCTGATCGCGTTTTTACCTGGCCGAGCCGCGAGATCAGCTGTCGGGCGAATCCCACGGAGTCAGATGGAGCTTGTCGTTGATCGTGTTCCAGCCTGCTGACTTCGCAGATCCGGATCCGCGTCGGCGAGTACGACTTCTCGTCGGTGCAGGAGAGGCTGCCGTACGTCGAGCGCGGCGTCGCGAAGAAGGTGGTCCACCCGAAGTACAACTTCTTCACGTACGAGTACGACCTGGCCCTGGTCAGGCTGGAGAGCTCGTTGACGTTCGCGCCCCACATATCGCCCATCTGCTTGCCAGCCACGGACGACCTACTGGTCGGCGAGAACGCGACCGTCACCGGATGGGGGCGGCTCAGCGAGGGTGGCACTCTGCCCTCGGTGCTGCAGGAGGTAAATTGCCCTCGTAAATTCTCGGCCAACCGGCTGCCAGTTGGCAGGGATCGGTTCGCCTTTCGCAATTCTACGGGAGAAATCTCTTGACCCCGATGGATCTTAGCCCATTCGATGACAGTCACGAGTGTACTCGCTTTAACGCGTTCCGTGCTACGGAAATTTCGGTATTTCGCTTATGAACTGTATTTGGTTTTTTTAAATAAAATATTAACCCTCTATGGGCCGAATTTTTGTTCGTGATTGTAAAATCTATGCAGTACAAGATTAATAAATATCCATATATGAATACGAATTAAGAATGTATTCAATAGTTTCGATAATTTCATCGAACGAATGTATTTTGTAACTTTCAAGTTATAATGACGCACTTTCACGTCTGAGTGTATGAAAATTTAATTAACTGATTACTTAATTTTATTCACTTTGAGTACAGAATGAAATAAATGAACAAGACGCCAATATACTGATATGTGACTTCAAAGTTACATGGGCCTACAAAGTACACGCTCCATTTTTTGATTTTATTGCGCGCGAAACTAGAGGTTTCTCCAATTAAATTCCATAGTTAACTGGTTAAACATCGACGTCGATTATCTTGTATGTTACGATTGTTTTCCAGTAATTCAGAAACGTCAGCCATCAGTAACATTTAACGTGTTAAAGGAATTATTTGTTACCAAAAACTGTTGAAATGTATTTGAAGAATGTTTGACAGATAGATATGGATGAGGTAATAAAAGAGAATGAAGCATGAATGAAGCAGTACGAAGCTTTTATTATTTTAGCAACAGTTTCACGATTCTTTGGATGTATCAAATTCGGTTAATTCTGTTTGAACGTTGTTTCAGGTTTCCGTGCCTATAGTGAGTAACGATAGATGTAAGTCAATGTTCCTGAGAGCTGGTAGACACGAATTCATACCAGACATATTCTTGTGCGCGGGATACGAAACCGGTGGTCAAGACTCTTGTCAGGTAATCCTCAAAGTTACTAAATATTATCATAGTAATAACACCTTCGCTTACTAATCATCATACATGTATAACAAAAACTTAACCAATTTCTCTCCAGTATTTTCAAATAACACACCTGCTAACCAGACTCAGCTATCTCCTGAAGTTTCCAAAAGCACTACACATCCACCTACCAGCCAATCACTATACAGCCAACGAACGAGGATTTACATTCTCTAAAAACCGAAACCATTCTTACTCGCAGGGAGACTCAGGGGGCCCGCTGCAAGTGAGAGGCAAAGATGGCCGCTACTTCCTGGCGGGCATCATCTCCTGGGGCATCGGTTGCGCAGAAGCGAACCTGCCTGGCGTGTGCACGAGGATCTCGAAATTCGTCCCGTGGATACTGAAGAACGTGACCTGACCGATCAACAGTTCCCATTCGCTCGAAATCCTGTTCACAGCTCGCCGGGACGGTACGCCCGGATCCGGAACACCGGTTCCCCTCGACCCGACGTCGAGGATCCGCCCTTCCGCCAGGAAACAAGAAAACCAAGGGTGAATCTCTAGCAAGCAAACACTCGATCCGCGAGGATAGAAATCGCGGCTTCGACCTAGCCAAAAGAAGAGAAGAAACAGAAAAGCTACGGATAAAAAGAGGGAGAAACATAAAGACGATTCACCCGACGTGATCCTGACGAAGCAAGGGGGTCCCTCAACTTCCGGGGACCGTCGAAACGAAGTTCCAAGGAGCTTCCATCCCGAAGACTGTCGCTGAAAGCGAAGCCAATCAAACGCGAGACTGCTCGGAGTCTGAGATACGTACTTACGGGACCATCGGATATAGTCGTCCTCGCTTCAGAATCGCAGGACTGTATTTATATATACATATATAAATATAAGCGATAGATAATAATATATTTCACCCGTGAACGAGCGAGCGGCCGCGCTTAACGTCGCCCCGTACATGAATAGAACGAGAGGGATCGAGCAGCAGCCGGCTCGACGTTGGAAACGCCGGATTAAGGATATTTTTGTTCACGGATGACAATCGCGGCTGTTCCGGCGGCGAGCCCCGGTGCGATCTCCGCAGGGACACGGTGCTCGAAGCGTGCGCTTAGACAGCGGTCCGAGAAAATTTCGTTGGCCGGTGGCTCGGTTTAATCGGATTATCTCATGATTCGCGCACGAGAGGCCGCCGAGGCTAACGCAGTTTCGCTCGGGCTTTCGCGCGAACCTGAAAATTAGGAGCCGCCCATAGGCCTGACGCCGGAGGGTCCGCGAAGCTGTCATCGGTCGCCGATGATCTTTTTTTAGGTATAACGGTGGTAGTCGAGAGCGGCGCGAGACATCGCGAGCAGGCGTGCGCGTGTTTATAGAGAGAGCTTACTGTACATTTACTCACCCGTTGTATAGCGAAGCCTGTAAAATGCTAAGTTCTTGCCCATCGCCCGGTTAGTTTAATCGTCAATCAATATCGGAGACTAATTTAATGAGAAGACCCGTCCGCCTCCGTTTAGGACTCTCCCCTTTATTTACAAGAATTACGGATTTTTTTGTACAGAGATACACCGTGTACTTAAAGGTAGGTGTGTGTGTGCGAGACAGGAGTGATCTAATAAATATAAATATATAATTGTTTATAGATTATATCGGTATTTATAAGTATGTCAAATAAACGTATATGTTTATTACTATCCTCGGATTCGTCTCTCTCGTTGAACATTGGACTCGAACGCTTTCTGGATTTAGAGGACGTTCTTTTCGTTATAGTGTGAATCGGATGTTCCATGGAGATTAGGACGATGCTTCAGGGATTAATTGATTTCTGCGAATGCAATGGAATAGAATCTTTGTAATTGCGTTAGGGTTTCGATGCGTAGGTTCGAGATGATCCGACGACATCCGGTAAGTTGATCGTCGGTGGGCCACGCGGACGCTAAAGGATCCGTGAATTCAGAGGATCGTTGACACGGCCGGCGATTAAGGCCACCGAGGTTTCGGCGTCGACGATGAAGTAGAGGAACGGATGCACGGCCGTGAACAGCACCGGCCCGGCTCTTTCGAATAACCCGTTACCTGCAAATATAGACACCTCGGTGACGTCTCTTTCGAGTCAAACAGGTCTTCGTTGGTCGTCTGATAGTTCAAAGTAAACATGGAATAACAATGTGTTTCTATCGCTATAAGACAACGAAATATTCCTTTTTTCGATTTTAACCCCTTGGCGTACTATTCACTTTCGCCACTAAGCTCGTGTACCATTTTACTATCGACAGTTTGAAAGAAATGCAGTAAAATTGTCCATTCTACTTGAAGTGGAAATTTTATTTGAAGATAATGCAATGATGATAGCAAAATAGTTGTTTGATCCGTGGGTAATGAATAACATCGATTGTTGTTAGTCTAGGAATTTTCATCGCGAGTTTCAGTCATTGTACGGCAAGGGGTTAAAATACGATAAAAAATAATCACAGATTCGAACTTTAAACTTGGCGTATTTATCTCGAATTAACGATCACAAACAGTACTGATTTTAATAAGTAGCTACTCTTCCTTCCCAAACCTTAAATCTTACGAATCTCCTAAACTCGCCTTACTTAACGTCCCACTGTAAAAATCAGTATTTAACACGAATAATTGAATCGTGCCTCCGGATCGTAAGTAATACAAGTAGTAAAAGTGCTAATTCGAGCCTGTTAACAAGTTGACTGGTATCAAGAGACGATTTCCAAATATTATACGCGTTTCGTACGAAGGTATTTCAAGATATTCTAGAGTCTCAAGTTGCAAGAAACGTGGTAGAACATTCGTTGTTGGTATAAACGTCCAACGAAGCCAGTTAATTCCGATAAACGGACGAACAGTCAACTTGTTGGTCGGCGTGCAGATCTATTCCGTAAGTGCGAGTGAGAAAGGGAGAGCGAGGAAGAGAGAAACGGAACAAAGAGAGCGACAGAGACGAAGACAGCGAACGAACGGAGTAATTAATTTCCGGAGCGAGGACGGGGACGGCCGAAGTCGCAGGAATTGGAAATATTTACGAGGAGCATTCTTCGGAATGATTCAGGAGTTTCCTAGTAGCCGGGACAGAGGAGTAACCGCAAGGTCTTTTTATTTATTTCCCCCGGTGAGTCAGCCGCAGGATATCAGCGATTAAATCCAGCCGGCTTTATAACAATACTGAGAATATTCCTGATCGTCGACCGGCGTCGATTACAATAAACCGGAAACGATGGCTCTACGTTGCCTCGGCGAGCAACGTATCGCGAAGAATTCGACATTTACCGATCGCACGGGAAGAAAAAAGTCCATCCGCCGATTACGTAACTCCGACTCGAGGCGATCGCGAACGAAAATGAAATTCTCGATGGTTATCGCTCGAATCAGCTCGGAACCGCGATCCGCTGGGAAAAGACTTAAGCTGCTTGCTCACCGCGGCGAGTGACACGTGAAGATACTTCTTTAAGACGAGATCGGTCTGTATATGAAACGTTTTCGAAACTTTCAGTCAATATCGAGTGATTCGATTAACGAAGTTCTCTTGAAATTACCCTAAAATTATTCGATTTTTCACAGATCCAAATTTTGTACTAAGGAAAATAGAAGATCGAAGAAATGTTATAGCGTTTCTAAGTTTCGCTAGGAATACTATAAAAATTAGCAATTGCTGATAGATTACAAAACAACCTGGAGTGCTAAGGGTTAACCCTTTTTCACTAGAAATATCTTAATATTTGGCAATGGGATAAAAACAATATTTTGTGGAATTAATTCGAAGAAAAATCATACGTTTGAGGAACAAAGCTATTTCATTTCAATATTTCTCAAATTTATGCGTTATACAATATTAAATATCGAATTTTACAGTTTACTGTGTGAAATCAAATAGTGAGTGAGAGTCACCTCTTGAGTATAAAGGGTTAAAAATCTAGAAGAAAGATGTGAAAATAATAGATGATAGAACCATAATAGAAGAGGTTCTAAGAATAATAATTCTGTCTCCTTATCTAAATGATCGATATTATTATATAAAATTGATCCCTCAGAATCTTGCAATGATCAAAGCAAAAGAAGCCGCAGCGAAGTTCACAGAGTGAAGTAAACCGCTTGCGCTATTCATTGCCCAACGCGATAGAGCCGCGGATCAGGCGGAAGTGTCAACATCCCCCGCGGAAATCGATTGGATCCGACGCGACGCGACCTTCGCCGAGATTTCTAAAGCCGCGCGAACCCTCGAGGAAGGAAACAACCGGTCCCGACCTTCGTGCTCGCTGTTGGAGCGTGGAATTTCGTCGGGAACACCGCGCGGCGATGTTCCGGCGACGTGACGAAGCGTGTTCGCACCGTCATTAACGACGATAATGAGGGCAAAGAAGGAGAGAAGAACCGCGGGAACGCGCCAAGAAAAAGAGGGATGATACGCGCCAGCAGTAATGGACGCCGGCGCGCCTGTAGCGTCTCGTTCCGTGCGCTAGGCCGCACGTCGAATCGCAATTTCACTCGGTTGCGTCAGGCGGATCGACCTGTCGAAAGTTTCGATCGTTCCCGTCCCGTCCAAGTTAATCCGCGATATCCTCTCCCCGTATTTTTTCGAACGTAAGAGGATTCCAGGATTTCCGCGGGACAAGAGCTCTCTATTCGCGGAATCGATCGTCGCTGAACGATGCTCTAAAATTGAATCGCTCGGAATCGGATGGCATTTACAGCGTTAAACCCTAGCGTACTTTAACGAGTTCGACTCGCGACAGAAACTTTCGAGTAAACACAAACATTACGAGTCTGACGCGAGGTGACACAGGTGAGATATCGGTCGCGATAATTATGCCTTGGATTTTGCACGGTTGAATGGTACGATGATTATCGTTATTGATGTGTATTTGTAGAGATTGCAGTTGTATTTTATTGAACGAGGAGATTGTACTTATATTTTAGTATGAGATCTTTCATCTTAGTGATGAATATTTTGAAGTGATTATGTTAATTGTTAGATTTCTGATTTATGGCTTTGCGAAGTTGTAGACCGACGTTGAGTCTACACGTTGAATTCTATTGAGATCACTTGGAAAGAGGACAAAGGTTGCGATGAAAAGGAACTTTGGTTAGTTTCGGAGGTCGATGGCGAGGAGAGGACAAAGTGCGCTAGTAAGTAGAAAGAATAGAGCAGAAACCTGGATGATAGTATCGATAATAGTCCCGTCGAGGTGGAACGATCGGGGGAGGGTCGGATTTGGGCGACTCACGAGAATGGGTTCTGTCAGGTTTCATGTAATTCCTGATATTCACGCCGATGCTCTGCTGGACGTCCCTCGCGTACACACCCAGGTCCGGGGTCATCAGCGACAGGTCGGCCGCCCTTGGTTCAAAGACGTCTACTATACCTAGCTGCGAATCGAATAAACATTATTCATCTTTCCATGGATTAACCCTTTGCACTCAGGAGCTGACTGTCAGTCGCCACTTGATTTCACGCAGTGAAACTATAAAATCTCATATTTAACCCTTTGCACTCCATAGGTGCCTCTAGTCACCACTTGGTGCATCAAAATTGTAAAATTTCGTATTTAACATTAAGTCTTGAGTAATCTATCTGAGTAAATTCCCCTTATTTTGTGAATAGATTCCTCGTTAAGTTTAAAAAAATGTCATCTATATCTTATAAAAATAAATTGAATATTTCTAGTGACAAATTTTTGGAGGGCAGAGGGTTAATGTTGAACTTTGTACAATGCCTCGATGCGTGAAATATTAGAATAAATAGCTTGGTTTCTCAATGTACTTGTGATTTCCCTTCGAGTCAGTTTCAAATATCGTCTTCGCCTCGTCAAAAAATGTTAAATACTTCTAGTAAGAAACTTCCGAGTGCAAAGGGTTAAATCGCAAAAATATCAATCGATGAAAACAAAGTCTCAATGGAATCAAATGAAAATTAAACCACATAGATAAAAAACAATTCAATGTTTCTATTAACCCTTTGCACTCGAGAGGTGACTCAGTCACCATTTGATTTGACGCAGTAAAATTAGAAAATTTAATATTTAATATTGAACTATCTATAATGCATCGGTGGAAATATTCGGATAAAAGAGCTTTGTCCTTTGTCCTCTTTGTCTAGTTAGAAAATGTTAAGAATCGCTAACGAAATACTTCCGAGTGCATAGGGTTAATACAGTCTTCGTTAAATCATTACTAAACACCAACAAAGATTACAACTCTTGCCAAAAATTCGCAAATCGTTGAATGACACGAGTCGAATATCCAAGTACTTAAAACCATTCATACCATCGAAACCCAAGAAATACATATTGAAGCTTAAAAACCGCCAGAAACAAATTGAACCTCGCACATCATCCGTTTGATCCTTCCGTGAAAGTACGCCCGAAGATCAAAAGCGGTCAAACGTTCGGCCCATCAAGCGCAAGTCGCTCGATCGTTACGATTCTGTCGTAATCTCATCACCATTCGCGTTCAGCACCACTTATCCGGCGGCTAAGGTTCCGTCGAGGGAGCGAACGAGTCGCAGAAGACGTGGAATGCTTATTGCCGCCAGAATCGTCCGGCGTGGCCCATAAAACCCGGCGGAATGGTACCCGTGAATTACGCCGATTAGAACAATTCCCCGTTCCTCGTCTTTTTTTTCCTCTCCTTTCCGTCCCTTCCTTTCGCCGTTCAGTGGCGGGCAAGCTTTCAGCGGCCGCGCTTCGGAATTATCGTCAATTACGGTGTCGTCAAGGAAACCACCTATACCGATATCTTTGTTCGCGGAACGCGGCGGCCGTGACGAGAGAAGCGGAAAGTGCACTCAAGATCTCGACTAACGCGATTAAGTAATTAGGAGCTTAATGCCCGAGACTAATGGCGAAATATCGAGCGGCTTGACGCTGGGAAACGCTCGATTCGGCTCCGACTGGGAACTGGATCGTTTTCCCCGGGAACAATCGGGTCCGTTTCAATGGATCGAGACGGGGGAAGCGCCGACAGGGCGGAGAAGCTGTTCGTACCCTTTGAAGGAAGGACGTCAAGGTGACGAAACCGCGCAGCATGAACGACGGAATGGTGGCCCTGACCCAAGTGGCTTGTAACTGCTTCCGCAACAGCCTCAACGACTTCCCGCCGAGATCCCTCGCCAGACGGTACGTGTCTCTTCGGTCCGTGGACATTACGAGGAGAATGTTGTACCTGGGATCCTGGAATATCGATCGGAGAATGATACTGATGCGTTAACCCTTTGCACTCGGTGCCTCTCACTCGCCATTTCATTTCATACTGTAAAATGAAATTTGTTATTTAACCAGTTAACTGTGTTTGACGAGTATACACGTCACCTTAAAGCTTGAAACGATACTAATTCTTTCAACAATGAATTCTTCATTTTTCCAGACAAACATGTAATTCTTCTTTGTTCTTCGGTCTTTCATTAAAATACACTCTACGTGCATTCGTCCTTCGACGAGTACACGCTCCATTTTTTATTCTATTTCACGCAGAACGAGAGGTTTTACTGAATTCCACAGTTAAGTGGTTAACAGACGCAGGAGATCGTCATTGAGCCAGAGTCTACTTTTCCCTGTGGAATAAGATATACTTCGATGGGCGGTTTGATAGTTTCCCGTGGAAAGGTTAGCCTTACGTCTAAAGGAAACTCAAGGGCGACAGCGTGGAGCGACGGAAAATGGGCGAAAGGCAGAACGGCGAAGTATCTGGACGCCGTGACGGAGGACACGTCGCAGCCGTTCACCAGGAACGATATCTCCGTCGAGTCCCTGACGGAAGCTTCGCTCAGGCTCGGCGGGTAGGGCTTCCAGATGCCCAGATCCTGCATCCAGATTCCTTCGTCTGGAACGTATTAATGAAGACATACATTAATAAAGAATCACGCACACACCGACAAAAATGAAAGAATCGACGCGAGCACGCGAATTCCCTTCGCCGTTGAAAAAAGAAATCTACATTCTCCCGCGTCGATCACCGAAAGCCGGCCATCGAATCAATCACGCTCGAGCGGCGCGGACTGAGACAATAAAAAAGGAGCACGTTCGAAACCTGGATAACTGGAGAAGAATCCCCTGGGGCTCCTCGCGGCGCGTTTCCTCCTCGTCATCGTGTCGCTAACAGTGGATGATTCTGCAGCGGCCGGTCCAGTCGACCCGGTTTCTCCTGGAGCGGGAGTGGTAACAGGCAAATCTGTAGATCCCATCTCGCCCGGGACAGTTTGATTGTTGGACACGTCCGTTGAAACGGTATTCTCATCAGGTGGTCCGGTGCTCGGACTAGTCTCCGGCGTGGTGTCGGGGATCGTCGAACCCGTAGCTTCCGGCGCGCCGGTAGGCGATTCAGCTGCGGGCACTGATGTAGTCATCGCGGCGATAGTCGTCTCAGCGGTTGTCGGGACGGTCGTTGACTCTGGCGCGGGTACAGTGGTATCAGGATCCGCGTCCTGGATCATAGTAGTCTGTCCAGGTGTAGCGGATTCCGTTACTCCCTCTGTCGCCGTGGACGTCTCGAGAGTAGACGGCGGGACAGTGGCAGAACTGGTTGAAGTTGGAGCGACTGACTCCGTACTTGCAGCTTGAGTGGTAGAATCTGCAATAGTGGTAACTGGAAAGGTAGCCGCGGCAGTAGACGCGTCAAGAGTGACAGGGGCTGTCGTGGTAGCAATCTCCGGTGTCATCGTAGACGTCGGACCAGGTGTGGATTGGCTGGCCGAAGTGGCTGGTTCGGTAGCGTCCATTAGGACGGTAGTTGCAGAGGTGGTTTGCGTTAACTTGTTCGACGTGTCCGTCATCAGCGTCATTGCCAGCAGCTCGACTGCCGGGGTTGTCTCTTGCGTCGGTTGCTGGGTGGTTGCTACTTCGTCTGGAGGCAGGGCTTTAGTGTCGGTCACCGGTCGATCGGTCATGGCGTCTGGCGTGGACGTAGTAGCGTTTGCTTCTTCCTCGGGGACAGTGAGGTCGAACCCGTAGAACCGCAGGATGTCCTCGTACTCCGGGCGCAGCCTCGTGTTCTCCTGGTTGAGCGTCAGGCCGCCCAGGAAACCGTCCGCGTTCAGATACGTCTTGAAACGATTAGAGATCCAAAGATGATTCATTTATTCGGATTGCTGAATGTTAGCCCCGTTGGCTACTGTTGACGCCTATAGGCGGTCGGAAAATATGACGATAATTGCAGCGAAGCTTGCTTAAATCTGACGTAAATGAATTTTAATTCAGCAATTCCGTTAGTCATATATTATATAAATCTGACTATCGATTGGTTTAATTTAGTTCAATTCAGTTTTCATAGTTTTAACACGCTTCCTTATAAATATGCGTTGACGAAAAATTCTGCCGTAGCCAAAGGGTTAAACTATTCAAGGTTTATTCTAGGTACAGAACCTGCAAGGACCTCAAGAATTCAGATAGTTCTCTTTATCATAAAAGACATAAAAGAATTTCTTCTATCTTGAAATGTTCTGTACTTATCAAACAATTATGAAGAAGCGCGAGCTTCGATAAAGAATCTTGATTCAAGGAATGCCCAGTGAATCATGCAAAAACGAGAACGTTCCAGATCATCAGGGCTAAGTCCAGGAATTCCATTGAGAAAGATCGACCGAAAGAGAAACTTAGGCGCTCCGGGAAGAGAAATTGCGCGTTCAGGCTTCAAATTAGCCGCGGTCCCGTTGGACCGCGTCCGTAGACAATTTTTCTGTCCATTTTCTGGTCGCCGGTTAATTGCCGACGGTTTCGCAACCTTCCTTACCCTGAGCCTGCGGTGGATGTCTCGGAAACCGAGCCTGGTGATGTCGCGGTCCCGAGGCAGACCCAACGCGTCCGCGATCTGCTGCCTTCCTCTGCCCGTTGAACCCTCGTACAACGCCGCCAGGACGAAGCCAACCCCTGCCGGCGAGAATGCCACGTTCCCGTGGCCCGTGTACTGCTGCAGAATCCGCACGCCCAGATCGTTAATAACGTCCGTGATGATGTCGACCGGCCTATGCGGAACCGGTTGATACCAGCCGTCGAACCCCACGTTGTCGTAGCCGTGGACGAGCACGGACAACACTGTTTGAAAATTTCAGGCAAGAAATCACACCGCTTTGCAACCAGGAAATTGGGAAATCGAACTGACGTCGCTTACAACGACATAAATAATTCTGAGGACACTGTCGAGAAATCGATAATTCTTGTAAATAACTGTCGCTGGACTATTTCATATTCTAACGAAAACGTTATTCTCCTGCTACTAAACCATTCTTTTCAACTTTCAAAGCCTCTGACAAATAGAACCGAATATTTCAAATATTAACATTGCAATGTTTACGACACATTGAACAGATATTTGTAAGTAGAACTTTCGAACAGAACTTCCTGCTAAGAACTACAAAATAATCCCAACACTAATCTCAAATTCGAGAGTCCCCATACCGACACGACATGCAACCCCATTCCCATAAACCCTTCAACGAGCACGTGAACGGCGTAATGCATAAAATACATACTTTGCAGCACAAGAGCCCAGGACACCGTGGTCCCCATATTAACGTCAGCCGGTTCACTGTCACAGGATCGCCAGAGCCGGGTCGTCGCGCATGAAGAACACACTCGCGGATTTTCGAAGGTACACCTCCGGACGGATCGCGCTGCGACGATGCTGTTTTCGTGGCCGGCTCTATTAGGATTAGTCCTAGTCGTCCGCGCTCCACGTCGGAACTGGCTCGTGGATGGTGCACGCCGCCCGCTCGAGGCCCAGCCGACCACTCTTGGATTTTTTAAACGGCAAGGTCGTCAGGTAGATAAACCCGTGTCTATGTACGCCGTCATATCGCGCGGCCGCCCTTCCCCTACCACCCACGGATCCTCCGGCGGGGTTACAGGTTCCCTGGAGAACGGGAAGCGGAGAACGAGCCTCCGGAGATGAATTATTCAGAGGATCGACGGGGATCCGTTCGCGCTCCGCGCGGCCCCCTCGCGCGCCGCCGCTTCGCCGGCCAGTTCCTTTTTCGGGGTTCTTTTTCGCGGGAAACCTGCGGAGCCAATTACCGTCTTACGGCCGACGGAGCCGATGGTTTTAGAACCCGTTGCTCGATAATTTAAGGCAATTAACCCTGGGCGCGGGTCAGTCTAGAGCTGAAGCTCTAGGCGCCGTGTTTTATTATGTTTTCTAATTTATACCCGTCGCGCTGCAGATCGATATTCCGTTCTAATCGAGCGGCGGATTTAATTCGCGGGCTATTAACGTTACAATTAGACGCACGCTGCAGGCCGAAGGGTCCGAGGTAAGTGGCGATAATTAGCTGCCCGCTGAACGGACGGTTTCGAGGATGGTTTTATTTATGTTCGGTTATCGCGGCACGTCGGGTTTCTGTAATTAGAAACGGAGAATGCCGGATTGCCTCAGGACGTAGCATCTTCCAGCCCGACCTTTCCAGACTCGCCGTTCGCGCAACTCCTATTCTTCTGCGGGCATGATCTTAATAATGTAACTAGTTGTGGCAACTTCCACCGTAACGTAACAAGCAGCAGAGGAATCATACGCGTCATGTGTCTTGCTCAACGTTCACGGTCGCCGTTCTCTGCTGACGAATCTTCGGGCGGATAACGATTGTCCGAAATTGTTCGGTGAATCAGGAGGATTATCAGCGCGGACGACGGTCAACCTGATACTTCGAGCCGCGTTCACTGTCACTGGCAATGCAACGATTCTCGAATGGGACGAACTCATTCGTCATGGCGGAGGCCTGGTTTCTGGCGAGGGAATCTCCGTGGCACGTTCATTATGCAATGCTCGTGACTTTTACCGCGAGACGCTTCCGCAGACCGTTGCCAAACACACTAGGATTCAACGGTGAATGGTATCTTCACCGAGAGTTCGTTCGCCGCTTATCGAATCGTCGTTATTAGATTGTAGAACGAATCGATTCGGTATCACCGTTAACTAGAAGAACCGCTTCGTGAAGTAATTATAATGTATTATTAATAGCAGTACACGCTGGTCATGATGCAGCGGAGAGAATGTAATAAGAGGAAAGTCATTGGTTCCTCCAAGTACCGCGTTACGCGCCATAGGTTTAACTAACAATGCGAGTAATTAAATTTCCTGTGCGTGAAACGCGAGATCGCGAGCGTCTGAGAGGCGAGTGACGTTAATTGCGAAGTAATTGTACGAAGGCTGAAGGTAATTTCGAGACGCATTGAAATTTATCTTTATCCGCGTGATCGGAACAGCCCGATCTCCATTCACGCGCGATCAAACTGACGCCCGGCCAGCAGGCGGCCGCCACGAAAAAGGATCGCGGATCGCCGGTGCACGACGTTGCGTGGATATCCACGCAATATCCGGTGCCGTCCATTACCCACAAATTAGACGTTCGTGATGGTAATTGTAAATGCCTGCTGGACGTCCGTGGGCTGTGTTTCCAACGGCGGGAATCGTTTCGCGCCTGTCTCGCACCTCCCCGAGCCGATTAACACCGAGGGAACCACACAGTGATCCGCGTTGTCGGATACAGGGAAAAACGTTGGAATCGTGTTCCATTCGTCGCGATACTGTTGCCTATGAGAACGTAGGGAATCACACGTGATTTCGTGCGTTGAATTATTAACCCTTTGCACTCGAGAGATTTGCAAAGTTATAAAGTCTTATATATAATATTAACCCTTTGCACTCGAGAGGCGAGTCTCACTCACCACTTGATTTCATACAGTAAAACTATAAAATTTGATATTTAATATTATACCTTGTATATCAATTCGAGAAGTATTGAAATAAAATAGCTTCCTCGATGTACGTGTGATTTCGAGTTAGTTTCGCAAAATATCGTTAAAATATTTCTGAGAAACTTCCGAGTGCAAAGGGTTAATGCAATGCAAGAGACCCTTACGCGTTTAAGTAAGATGCGCACGAAACATTCGTTGATACTTCTAATCTTCGACTCGCAAATCGAGCACTTTTTCCAAGTAACTATACAATTTTAATCACACCGTTTTCCCCGGCCTGTTCGCCATTCCGCCGGATAACGAGAGAATTGAGCAACGATTTTGGACCTGGCTGCAACGACGTTTCGCCGGCGCGGAGGTAGAAAAAGGGGACGTCGAATGAAAAGTGGGAAGAGAAGGAAACACGAGTGAGAGGACGGTGTGGGTTTGTTTATTCGCAAAGTGAAATCGCGCGGCGTCTGTACAGTGAAGAGCTGACGTGAAGAGCGAAAGCAATTTGCATGGCTATACAATGGCTCCTAGGAGCTGGATTCACGAGACGAATGGACGAATCAGTTTCCGTTCCTTGGATACCTTGCGCCTGTTCCAGTAGAATTCGCACAGCAGGAAGAACAGGGACAGCGTCACGCCTGAAGCAACGGACAATTTGTTAATTACTGAACCGCGTTTAACAACTTGACCGCCATTGTGCTCTCTCGCCAGCTGAGATTATTGTTAGGAGTTTCGTGCAAATTTCACGAGAACGAAACTCCCCTCTGTCTACAGTTCCGATGAACAGCCTATCGCAATTCGCTCATTGTACTGCGATCAGTGTTACATTCTCAAAGCGTCAGCAATTTTCTATAGATCACGTACCCATAAAAAGGACGAAGAATATCCCCTGCATATCTGCCACGTTCACTTTCCTCTCGTTCACCACCTGATTGTTGCTAGCGATCTCCCAGCACTTGTCTTTTATCGGCATCTTCTCCGTGATCCATTTGTGCATCAGTCCAGATTCGAGCATGCGGCGCAACCTGTTTCCCATTGAACGTCAATTATAAACAGTCGAGGATCTCCGATGTAGATTAACATGTCACTGCTTACTCCGCGTTGATTACGGGTAAATAGGGACTCCCCTGCGGGATGATCATCGCGATCGGCTCGTCTAAGAACTCGTCCGTGCTCAGAGAAAAATGGCAGCCACCGGTTAGCAGCAGATCTTTCCTCATCAGGAACCTACGGTTGAAGATCGAATCTTTGTTCTCGGAGAATGTCGGAAAAATCGGATGTAGTGTCTACCTGAGGGAGCTCCTCCAGTCTATCAGAGCGAATTTCCCTTCCTTCACGCGCTCGATCAGTCGCTCGTCCTCCGTGTCGTTGTACATCTCCGCGCGAGCCAGCAGAATGTGATACTTCTTCTCGTCCGCGTTCTCCAGGTACACCTCGAGGAAGCTTCCGTTTAAGAAGCCCCACGACATCCTGTCCCTGCGCGCGATCAGATCGTCCACGCTCAGGATCGACGCGTCCATCCTCGGGAACGTTAGGAAAGCGACCAGACTTCCTGAATACGTCGCCACCACGACCATCACGATCAACCACCAGATGCCGATCAAAAGACGCGCGCTGTCTGACTGTGGCAAGTACATTCCCCCTGGAAATTCAGATCTTGAATTATCATTCATGAATTATCCTTGTTCACCCTTTGCACTCGGAAGTCTTTCGAAGTATTCAACATCTTCTCTTTGAAACGAACTGAATGAGAACATAAGTTAAGAAACAAAACTATTATTCCAATATTTCAATATTTATACATTATACGAAGCGTAATGTTTTGTAGAAGACTAGAATTCAGTACATCGAATTAAATGACAGTCACTCGAGTGCAAAGGGTTAATCCTGCGTTTCACCCACGTTTTGTTTATCGTCAGTGATATTCTCTACCAGTTGCGTATAGTTTATGGCTGTTAATACTCCATCTATAGTACAAATTATTAATAACTTCGTTGGCGGTAATCCGCGCGAATCCCCAGCAATCACCGTCGCGAATGTTAATGTCCCCGCCGTATCTCTCGCAGCTGTTACGCCTCGAACGTTCTCCAACCCTTTCAAATTCTACCATTAAGCGTCCAATCAGCGAGCATTCGTGAATATCAGCCACGAGCCATTAAGTCAGCGTGGTCACTACCGAGAATAAGGAGCAGCGGAGATTCCGATCGCGTGACCGTTCGCGCGAGGCGGGAAGGGATAAGGGTCTGTTAAGGACGAACGAAATCGTACCTTGTTGAAGCAACGCCCCGTACACGTACCACACACACTGAAACGAGGAGCTCAGGCCCGAGGTCTCCGTGCTGAACGGGCTGTACTTGTGGATCAGGTACAAGATCGGACCCATTATGATAATGGACACGGCCAGACAGGCCCACGTCTGAAAGCCAGGCCCTGGGTTAGAGGTATGCCGGCGGGGAGAAACGTCAGACTAAATGACACTCCACGGTTCCGCCATTAGAAGCTATTACGCGGTGGAACGTTAAAGGACGATACGTTTCTGCGTTCCTCGCGTAACGATGCCGATTAATTCCTGCCGTTTCACGACTCTCTTCGAGACTTCGACTCTCTCTTAGATAAAGTTTACAACCGCCTCTCAATCTTTTGGCTCCTTTGGCGATCGCTCTTGCGACCAAAAGATTGGAGGATTCGCGTATCGAAGAAATTCGATATTTCTACACTACAGCAGGAAGCTTTTAATCGGATTCTATCTACGTTTCTGTTACCTCTTTGGTGAACGGCGACGCGAATAGAAGCGCCCTTGACAGCTGTCTAGGCCTGGCAGTTAGAAAGCTGTAGGTCTGCACGTATATTGGCACCGTGAAATTGACGGCGCCCTTCCCGTACTCGTTCACGGTGTACGCGCACGCCGCCAGCAGGACCTTCTTCTCGCGGACCAGCTCGATCACCTCGGTCGGAATTTGTCTGGTGTTCGACATCGTCATCCCCTTGATTTTCTGCGGAAAAAGATCTAGCTCGCGAATAGACGAATGGCTCAGGGGCAAGGGGAAGTTCATTGGATCCTCACGTCGCCGAGTTTGTCGAAACGCGACGCGCTCCAGGCGTTCGAAGTCTTGTTCAGTTCTGGCGCCACCACCGTGTACGAGAAGTTCAGCCTCTTGCTCAGGTGCTTCACCACGTCGAACACTAGACCCTCGTACGATTTCTCGCCTGTGCTGGTCACTGTGATCACCTGCCACGGTGGGTTCTGGAAGAGTTTGCTCTAAATGTGACAGTTGTTATGGGTTAACACTAGAACTATCAATCAAAATGACTGGTTTAGATTTGTTCGTTTCGCATTAACCCTTTGAACTCTGTAGGCTCCGATATTGCACCAGGAATAATATTACATATTTTAATGAATCTTAAAACTACCCTAAAATTATTAGATTTGCCACACATCCAAATTTTGTACTGAGAAGGAAAATAAAAATTAATTGCAGTTGCTGATAGATTACAACCTGGTGCTAAGGGTTAATACCTTAAAAGCATTGAATATTTGAAATGATTTTAGAAATAGTTTCACTTGGGTACTATGATGAATATCCAAAGAAACTGAAAATAATCAATTGTTGCAATTTTTATAGAGATTACATATCAATCGTATTAAATGCTCGGTAGTTCTAGTGTCAACGTTTCAAATAGAATCTATCGTCTATGAAGAAATATGTATGAAGTATAATTGAATTAGAATCTATGTGATCGATTATGATTCATGGGACATGGTAATGAGTAGCTTCTGAAGAATCGAACGTCTACCCACGGGATACGTCGCGATCGGCAGAGTGATACCGCGAAATCCGTGGGCGATGTGAGGGAAAAGCATGTCCGTCAGATTGACGCTGAATTCCGGCGTCCACACCCCTATGTCGAGTATGTGAGCCTGGTCCCTGCCACGAGTGAAGAAATTCCCCCATGTGATTGCCGTGGACAGCCTCCAGAACAGGCATCCATCGTTGATCATGTCCGACGTGTAAATCTTAAGGAAATATATCAGAAAGAGACGTATTTTCAACATCAAACCTGTTGAAATATATTCTGCTTATTATTCTTCTTTGAAAGTACTGACTCTAACGTTCCTCAGGATCTCTAGACGCCTCTCGCGTTTCGTTAACCTCGTGACCTCGAAATCTTCGTCGCCGATCTTCTTCAACAGTTCGATCTCGATCTTCAACGTATACTCCAGGGCTCTGGCTAGAGCTGTGATCAGTTTGCCCACGTAATACGTCAGGGTGATCTGAAAAAGGAATTCATCAATTCTTTGTCATTCGACTCGACTGTTAAATTTCGCGGACGAATGTCGACACTTCGGAGATGAAACGTTCATATTCGGAAGACTAAGTCGCAGGCAAATGATTTAATTACCGGGACAGTAAGAGGTTAGCGTGTGCTTTCTGTTCTTGCTGTTAATTGAGCAATTAATATATAATTCAGCTTCATCTGAAGGTTTTGTGCGTTTCAAAGAATCTTCGTCCGCGGAGGGTTAAATTGTAGGTTTGTTATAGATAAGTTTCGGTGATCGAATCTTCTGCAATTGTACGAGGAATTCAATGGAGGCTTTTAATACAGAATACAATGAAGGGAAAAGTACTGTAGCGATGAACGAAACGACTGTGATGGTTAATTATCGACAAGCATTCGATCATTACTTCGCAGAATCCATTGATATGGGTCGCGTTGTACACGAACGCCACGTTTCCTCCTTCTGCCAATAAATCGACGAACGCCGTCATGTTGGTCGCGTTCTGCGCCGCGGTGTCGGTGATGACGTATAGCCACTGGCTCCCAGGATGCACCATCTTCAAGGACCTCGCCTTTTAGCACAGAAAAACCAAAAGAAACTCGTGTAATCGGCTCAGCTTCCTCGCTTATAACTGCCAACCGCTTCAATTACACTTTTAAGTGGACTTCCATCATTAAAACGCAATTTACGGCGGCATGTACAACCGAGTGTCCGTGAAATAACAAGACAGTAACTCCGGACAAGGTTGCTGAAGAATCCGACTATCTAGAAGCTCTTCGAACCTCCTAACAACTGCTAGGCTGATACACACTTTACGGGATCATTAACACCTTATCAATGCCTCGCAATTACGTTCATAACGATACGTCTAAAATCTTCGGCGTCTGTTCCTCGAATGAATTGACAACTTGATGTCCAAAATGAAATTGTCTCAATGCAATTTACATTAGATGATACTTTACTTGTAAACTTCATGCAGTCGATCGAAAAGATTCTATTGTCCAATTCAATTGTGTTTCATCATTGATTCTGTCTTACACTCACAATGAACATAAGGGAAACATGCATGGTCTACGTATTGATAAACCCACTGAAATCTCACCACTTCCATGACGTCCGCTATTATGTCAATAGTAGCGATCACCATGAAACAGTGGCCCAGCTGTTCCACGTGAAAGTCGTTCAGCGTTTTCTGCACCAAAGTTTTCCTGACCCTGTCCGTCTCGTTTTGCTTCAGGGTGAAGATCGACCTGGAGACCAGGTTCATATGCCTGTTGGGCAGCTTGTCCGAGATGGACTTCATCACTCTGCTGATCGTGTCCCTGTCTGAAACGGGCCGCGAACGCGCGAGCATGGTTAGATAAGGGAGCTAGGTGGACTCTATCTTGCTAACTAGACGCGCTAGTTGCTCGTCTTATCACCGAACGTATCGTCGTGGAGAATGTTGATCGCATTCCAGGATAGAACGTTCATCATCCGCAGGTCGAGGAAGATCTGAGACAGTTCCTCGCCGGGCACGATCACGGGGATGCTTATGCCGTCGGTGTCCATGATCCTGGGACAGTCCGCATCTTCCAGCAAAAGATATCTCATTATCGGCTGCATCCGTGGTAGAAACATACGATTCTTTCAATCTCTAAACTCTTTTGGTGAACAACATAAATGAATCACAAAGTGACTGAAACATGAATCACAACGCGAATGATCGATAGAGCTTGTAGATATTAGGTTGACCGATCGCTTTACGATAACCTTAACACTAGAACTACCGAGGATTTAATACGACTGATATGTGATCCCTATAAAAATTCTAACAATAGATTATTTTCGGTTTCTTCAGACATTCGTTATAGTATTCAAGTCAAAGCTATTTATTTTCAAGATCATTTCGAATATTCAATGCTTTTAAGATATCGATAACTGTGAAACAAAGCAATCGAATCATTTTGACTGGTACAGTAGTTCTAGTATTAAACAATTCGATCGCATGGCTTTTCACGAAACAATATTTGTTGATAGCTGGCTCTCGACGAAGACATAGAGAATTCGATTCTTACCTGTTATCGCGAAATGCATCAGGTCATTCTTACGCGCAGCCTCGTGTAACCGCCAAGTCAGGAAGCAAGTCGCGACAGACAGAAGTATCGTGTAATCTTGGTGTCAAGCGTTGTCAGTGAGAAAGTTGAGCATAGACGATTAATTAAACTATCGATCGGCACTCGCGCGCGCGCTTACCTTGTCGAAGATTGACATTGGTGTCCTGGAAAGCGGTGACAACCATGCCGCCTATGTGCATTTCCCTCTTCACGGTGTCCGCGATCAGATCGAGGATCGACTCCACGGCTTTGCGATGCTCGTCTTTGTCGTTGAAGTAACCCTTGTCGATCACCACCGCTGTTCGAGCAAGTTTTTCAATTGAATTCTCGATTGTCGTTCGCGTAATCCTCCCTCTCTCTCTCTCTCTCTCTATCTCTTTCATATTCATCGAATCTCCCGTCAGCGTTTTAGTGTAGAAAAATCATACCCATCGTGGCGTTCGCGGATATGAGGGACGGAAAATCGTTGTAGCCATTCCCATGGTCGACGGTCGCGAGTAGAAACAGGACCGATATCATTTTTATTTGCCGACCGGAATAACGCCGGGACCGTATTGCTCGGCCGATATATAAACCGAGGACACGCGTGAATAATGTATCACTTCATTAGTTTCGCTGGGTAGGTTATTACAAACCTAACCGGGACGCAATCACGAGCCGAGCGCCGGCCAGGCCTAATGTAAACTGAATGCGCCGCGAATCGTAGGAAAGGTCAGCCATTTAATAACTTATTACGGAACGATCGAATCCCTGTGAAATTGGAGCAGGACACTGCTTGATCCGGTCACGCGTGTTTCTAAGCTGATCGTGATTTCTCGGTTGATCCGCGTGTTCTCGAACTTATGGGACCTCGATCGAGTCTCCGGGAAATTTAAGCTTGGAACCAAGCGATCCACCAGTGACTATCGGTTTCGATTGAACTGACGGGTTCGAGGAAGTGTCCATGAAATGTTTATTCGTATTTTCTAGTGAACAGTGTACTTGAATCTCATGGGTAAAATGATATGTTAAAGTTTTATTACATTGGAATTAATACGTGCGTCGATAGGCATGGTGTAGTGATAATGAAACAATAGAGAGCCTGTTTTCATTTCTCTTTTAATCCTTTTGCACTCCACAGGCGCCTCTCAGTCACCACTTGGGGCATCGAAATTGCAAAATTTCGTATTTAACATTAAGTCTTGAGTAATCTATCGATACGAGAAATGTGGAGATAAAATACCATTGTCTTTATTTTGTGAATAGATCTCTCGTTCATATTAACAATATCATTTACAACTTACATAAAGAAACATATTGCATAAATCATGGGGCACAGTTGTTTTATTTCTACGTTTCATTTGTTAATACCTGATTCGACGTTTTATATTGAATTTTTCAGTTTACAATTTTGTTGCGTTCAATCAAATGGCGACTGAAAGTCGCCCCTCGAGTGCAAAGGGTTACTTGAAAAAAATGTAATCTGTATCTCATAAAAATAAATTGAATATTTCCAGTGACAGATTTTTCGAGTGCAAAGGGTTAAACTGTGAACACCGCGAGCGATCAGATATTTTTTAATGGTATGCGCTGGGTATTTGGGTTAAACTTCGTTCTGTCGTGCTTACAATGGACTGCTTTCGATTGCTGCGTGTACAAGACATCGACGGTTAGCGTTACTGTCTGTCAACGCGCGAGACAATTGCATTGTTTCATATCGGCCGGTGGAACGCGGCGGTATACCACTTCCGTAAAGCAAAATCAGAGATAAGGCCGGTGGCGTCGGTTGCGTTATTACAACCTACGCGCTGCCGACGTCAATAAGAAAAATCAGCCGTTGCTTCTGCGATTACTTCTTCTTCTGCCATTGTTGCAGTAACACGCGGCTTTTCTTTTCTTTCGTCATCGAATCGATAATCTCTGCGTGAACTATCGACAGACGCAGCTACGCGTACTCGGTATTATCAATTTTTGAAGTCATCATGATTTCCTCGGGTATCGGATACGAAGAAATTTTGAATCGAAAATAATACTTTATTGATCATACAGTGGGTTATTTTGTAAATTATATTTTTATCATCTTTCGTATTGTTAACCCTTTTCACTCCAAAGGTGCTTCTCAGTCAGCACTCGATTGGTGCATCAAAATTACAAAATTTCGTATTTGACATACAATACCATTGTTCTTATTTTGTGAATAGATTCTTCGTTAAGTTAGTTTTAAAAAATGTCAACTATATCTCATAAAAATAAATTGAATATTTCTAGTGACAAATTTTTGGAGTGCAAAGGGTCAACGACTCTTAGAGAATCTATACACGTTAATCCTTTAACTATTATCTACACTTGTATTTCCTATCTCGTAATGAAGTACAAATACATCTAACCATAATGCAACGCACAATTATTACGATCAAAATTCTCATGAGCCTCATCACTCGGAATTTAATTAAACGTCAAACGAGATTCTGTGAAACTTCAAATTTGAAACCCAGTTTCGTAAACCTTGTAGTTCCGCCTGGTTCCGCAACTTCCGGTTCAACTGAACCGGAAGAACAGTAGGTGGCCCTCAGTTTCCGCCGGTGACCGCCGAGACGTCCGAACGAGATTTGAACGGTGCGCTCCGCGTTCGAACGTGCTAATCGCGTGTGTATAATTTCTGAGCGCAAGAAGAAACGGCGAACGATAACAAGTTAACGGAGCGAACGATGTCCGAGCCGTACGAGTTGAAATAACAAGAGGACCGAGTTATCTGTGCGGGAATAGTCGCCGCTGGTGCGTCCGTTCGTGACGATTCGGGTGACATCGTGCGGGACGGAGGACGTGCATGCCTCTATTACTCCGACAGTTGGCTCCGAATGTGTCCGGGAACCATGCAGAAACTGTACGCCTCGTGCACGTATACGCAGCGCGAGACACGTACACACAGGCCCGAACGATTTTTCCCCCGGAAATCTGGGCAACGTTAACTCGACGGCCACCCAAACATTTCGTGCAATGTCAAGCACCGTACAATATGATGGGCTGAACGTCTCCGGGAAAACTGACAGATACAACGCTTACGACCGTGCTGCACGCGAAACCAGCATAGGCGAACCAGTGAGAGGAATAGCACCGTCGGGAAAAAGTGGGAGTGAAAGTGGAAAAATTCCGTTTTTCGAAATTGCACGAGGCACAGGGCCGCGCACCTAGTGCAATACCACACGAGACTGCTGATGTTCCGCGAAAACGATGGAACCCGAGGAACCTTTGCTGCAAGGGATACTGCTGTTACCACCACAAGGAATGCTAGGCCAACTCAAGGTTGGTTTCGATTTCTGGGTAGACTTTAGAGTACGTGATTCTGGCGACCCGTTAGCGGGTGGATTGTTTCCGTGATACTCGTTTCTTTCCTGTTTTGTCTCTGTCGGCGAACACGAATGATCCAGGTCTCGTTATCAGTGATCGTCAACGAGAAATAACCTACAAAGCTGTACGATCATGTTACAGACATTTCAGGCTCGTATGAATTAGCGCTAATGGATCGAATGTGACACACGTCATTCTTGAATCATATTGGGATTTTCTTTGGAATTTTATTGATATGCTGTGCATTGTCTGATTATATTGTTCTGTTGTTAGGAGGGATTATTGTTCAGCTAAGCTGTCAAACATTCATGGACCGTGTAATGTTGTTGTGTTACAGAAAAGCTGGCATAAAAGGTTTTGTCAATTGTTTAGAACAAGTAATTATGGAATCAAGCGGGTGGAAATCTATGATAACCAAGAGGAGGCTGTCCTGCAATTGCATACACCGCGCATTATTACTTTGGACGCGTGTATCAAAATTGCACCAAGTAATCAATCTCATGTGTTTACCGTAAGTAGTGATGATATAACGTGTTATTTGAAGAAAGTGATGATATAACATGTTAGTATCCTTCTGTTGTATTTTATACGTATAGGTAGTAACTAAATCAGGAATCCACTATTTTGGATGTTATTCCGAATCAGATATGAGTCAGTGGATTACTGCATTTCAATTAGTAGCATTTAAAGACAGCGTATCTAATCAGACAATAGAGGAAAACAATGATCTTTATTGTACTAGTGGAGAAGGTGTATTCTCAGTCAGAATTGTAGAAACAGATGCATCCAAGCGATGCGGTTTAGAAAGTAGAAATTACACTCTTGTAGTGGCTACAGTTGATATTAAATTAATGGACGGGGATATAGTTCTGTTTACTTGGCCATACAGATATATTAGAAGATACGGCTATAAGGATGGAAAATTTATTTTTGAAGCGGGTAGGAAGTGTGAATCTGGAGAAGGATCATTTCGCATGGAACATAGTAGCCAACAAGAAATATTCAGATGCATGTATTCCAAGATGAGATCTATGAAAAAATTGTTAAACGAAGAAGGCAACTCAGCCATTGATTGCAATGATGCACAGTATCATGCAGCCTTATCTATGGAAGCGGGCTCTAGAGCAGCATTACCTCCTTCTCCAAATAGTTCTGCTAATTTAATTGACATTGACTTTTCGTCGCCGCAAAATTCCCAGAAACAAACGAACTCATCTTCCAACGTGGATACTAGTTCATCTATTAAACCTTCTGCTTCTCTTCTTAAATCTAAACCTGCGAAACCACCGAGAAAATATGCTTTCCAAGGTTTATTGGATAAGAAAAACGCAGATTCTGACTTATCAGATACATCTGGATGCGCAGAATACAAGACATTAAATCGAGATAATTCACCGGAATTATCACAAAAGACAATAGGAAGTTCTATATTGGATGACGACGAGAGACATCCATATGATTTAGTAGAAGTAAGAAACGATGCGTGGAAAACGCACGGAATTGATAATATACATCACACAGAGCGAGCAAATTCGATGCTACATAATGACAAAGGTAAAGAAAACGAGGACGATTCACAATATGAAGCTATGATGCCTGTTTTATCATCTCAAAACTCATCAAAAAGTAAGTCTAGTATTTCCGATAATCCAATAACTACATCGACGATTAATTTCACAAATGCATCGTGCAAATCTGTCGATGAATCTGACTACGATAAATTAGAACATTTTGGATCTGCAACTAAAATTAATCAAAAAGGTACATATAAGTTCGGGAATTTGAACAGTGCCTCTCAGAATTCGTATTCCAGTGCTTCTTTAAATAATTCTGCAGTAGATACCACTACTGCTTGGTCTAATTATGATATTGTGGAAGACATGTCTGCTGTTAGATTAGCAGATGATAGTCATCTTGGGTATGGTGTTATTAGAAAGAAATCAAACCATACTGAGCCTGGTTCTACCAGTAGTACAGTGGGTCCAAAGCATAAAGTCTTTAATAATAGTGAATATGCAATTGTGTCAAAACCAAAAAGGGTATAAGAGATCCAACATAACTTCTGTTTCATAAATATTTTATTCTTAACTCCCAAAATGATAAAAATAATACTAGTCTACAGTATGACTAGAATAAGTTCATTCCTACCGTTTTTTTTCTGTATAATGAAACAGTTGTGTTGATATTTTATAATCTTGTTATGTATATGCAGAAGTGGAAGAACATTCATTTCTGCACAAGTTAGTTTAAGAGATACTAGTCTTTTTAATCATTGTCAGTTGTCTAAGAATAGGTAATTACATAAGAGACAAAATAGATTTACATATTTTTATAATTAAGGCTAAATTAATTGATACAATATTTCAGAAAATTCAGCATTAATTTTTTAAAATATAAAACTGACTGATTGCAATAAAGATATATAGAGGCCTTATATCGTAAAATTTAATTAAAAAAGACAAGTTAAGTTTTATCAAATTCTTGCAAAGATTCAGAATTAAATTTGCATGTTATTTCAATATTTGGTGTACTTAGAGATATTTAATTATTGTTAGTCTCACATTACCATTAGTTCTATATTATAGTGCTATAGCAACTTCAGTTAATGTTGTGCCTTATTGAGACGTTTAAAATCTATGATAACATAAAGTCTTCAAGATACAGAGTTTATATATACACAATAAATGAAAAACAATAAGTCATTCCTTGTATTTCTAGTACATATATTTTATATACTTATGTACTATATCTACATACTTATAAATGATTTAACAATGTAATATGTTATTAAGTGAAACAATTTTATAAAAATGTATTATATATATATATACACACATGCATACTTGATAGTTATTTATATACCAAGCATTCATACTTTGTCAATTAGAACTTGCCATATACAGTAACTTCTACACAGTGTGCCAAGGTCTGCCATTCAAATTTTATTGATATTACAACTTATAATAGTACTAAGTCATCTGCACAGAAAGTTACATTGCATAAAGAGGCAAGTTGCATAAAATTTTTATATGATCTGAGAACTATTCAAGAATATATATTTTTTACCAAATTGTACATATTAGTAGTATTCTTTACATTTAACACGACTAAAAAGAAGTTTGAAGTATGCATATTATATAGATGGAACACTGTTTGTTCTAATATTTTCGAATTTAAAGGATCAAAAACAAATTAAGTCTTTCGATATTGATCAAACTTCCGATATTATTTTTTACGTATATACGGATAAGTTACACGTAATATAAGAATTATAAATAGTATACAATAAATTTCAAGACATTTACATCAGCTTAATACATTTTTCTTATCAGCCCTTTGAGATTCCACTTTTTTCCTTATGAATCTCCATTTCGACTTTTTCTTCTTCGATTAATTTTTCTCTGTTCTTATTATGTTCCAATAACTTAATTTCTTCTTTGGCAAGAACTTCGATATAACCGTCGACATCGTTCATAACTTTTCTAACAGTCTCTCCTTTTGCAGCCAAAATTTTTTCTAAATTTTTGTACTTTCGTAGTTCCGGGAACCATCCTAGATTATCAGCGATTAAATGATTATTTTTGCATCCGTCGCATCGGACTATAACCACCCCTTTCTCATATGCAACTTTCGAAATGGTTTTACTACTTCTGTATGAACACCGTTTACATGTAAACATCAACTTTAACTTTCCTTCAAGCTTTCCGAGTTGCTGTTTATTAGATACGTTTGCATCATTCTCTTGCGATGATTTACAAAAATTCGTTTGTGTTAGAGCACAAATGTTTCTCGTAGAATTTACACTGATATTATTTTTAAAAATCAATAGTGTCTCATGTAAATTTATAGGCGCTTCCGCAAAAATTAACCTCGTTCCCAATCGAGATACGTGACGGAACGAAGACATAATCTTCTTTAATGGATCTCCCTTTTATATTCAATGTTTAGTTATTTTTTTACTACTGTTTAATAATTGATAATGTTGTATCAACAATTGTGTCACTACTAAGAATATTTTTCTGTTAAGTATGACACTCACGTGGACGATTATAAGGAGGAAATGTCTAAAGGCAAATTCACATGTATCTCAACGCCATTTTGTTTGATCTCGCATTACATAACCTTAAAATTAAAAACAAAGAGGTCAAAATAAAAGACAATTTTGTTGAAAATTACAGTAGTTTTATTTCTATGAAAAATCACATTGTAAACCATTATTATTAATGTAAAGGATCAATTGCTTTGAGTAACATTCATTAATGAATATGTGTGAACACGCCCAAAAGACCAAATTATTCTTGGAAACAGACCATTAGTTTATGTTTACGATTTTCGTCTTTCCTTCTCTAATAAATTAAAACAGATTTCCCGCAATGACAAAGAAAACTTTACAATGCCTAATATTCTAGAAAGAACTGAATTTTATTTTATACTAATTTCTTTGCTTCAAAGAAGTTCTTCAAATGTTTCATTTGCCATGTACCCATTCCTAATAGAACTACAAACTGTGTGAGAGACCACCAAAATACACGTCTGTGAGTACTCTCAGAGGTTTGTCTAAAACGTTCCTCGCGATACTGAAACAAAGATACCAAGATAATTCAAATTTAAAAGGAAGTCTATACATTATAAATATTACATAATATCATATTATAAAACAATCAATTACCCTTTGATAGTTTTGTTCCTTTGTAATCTGCTCTACTTGATCAAGAAGTTGACGCAGTCTAAGTTGTAATTCAGTGAACTTCTCAACTTGTGCTGAATTATTATATATAATGGCACGTTGACCTTCTTCAATGTCCAAATGTACTCTCTAAATATTCATACAAACACGATATATCAGATGATTATTATAATAAATATAAAATAATTCAAAGGCAAACATATTTGATAATGATGTGGAGACAATTATAACTTCTATAACATAAATGTTATTCCTTAAATATAAATTATGTACACGTACCAGCTGAGTACCACTGAACCAAGCCGTACTATTGGAATATAAGCAAATGACATGTTCCCCGGGTGTATGAGAGGTGAAAGAAATTCGTCCCTCTGAACTGTATACTCTTGAAAGGATCATTTTATCATCGGGATCGCTGACTTCCACGTGCATCCCCATTCCGGGACTGCTGGGCATAAACCCGCCGGTTCGGGGATCGTATATTTCAACCCTATAATACACTACAAAGAAAAATAGAATCAAAGAACTTAGTACGATTAACGATTGCGACATATTTATCGAATAATATTCATTTATATATTTTGTATATACCTAAAACTGTCGTTTCATCTGGAATCTCCTCGATGAAACACTTTCTCTCCGTCTCACCGATATGAAAATAAAGTCCTGTGCCATATTCAAGTATACACAAAAAAACAAGCAATATACCACCGTGCTTTAACATGTTTTGTTTGTATGCAGTGCTTTCGATAGCACAGCGAAACTTAAATTACAAACGAAATTATATGAGAGACAGTACACAGCACACGTCACCTACGAAAACAATCGGTGAAGTTCACGTGAGCGGCGCCACTGAGGTTCATCGATATATACCTCCTTGATAATGTGTAACTTTTGAAAAAATAAAAAAAAAAATGGACGTCACCCTGTTAGCTTTTTTGGCAGTTGTAATTCTACTTTTGATTATAATTTGTACAGTATATCTGGGTCGAAGATCCGGTACGTTCTTCACCTGTTAATCACATTTTATTTCATATTTTCCTGTAACAGAATCTTTCTCCGTTATAACTGAACGCGTTCCTAACCTTTCAGCTTTATTTAGAGGCATATGATGCTTTTTCATCAAATTAATATCCGTTTGCCACTGACAGAAATTATTATAACTTGTTACTTATGTCATTCGAAGCTGTAATTTTGAAACATATGTTACATTTACTAAATTTAATTTTTCCATCTACTTATTCACAGTAATGTCTTGTAAAAATTAGAAGAAAAAATATTAATTTGAAACATTTATTGTTTTGAATGCACTATAGTTGCAAAGAAGAAGCCGACCAATGCGCAAGCTGTTCAAGAAAGACCTATAAGGAGAGCAGCAGGTCAAAGAAATGCCAGACGCCGTATACAAGCCACTGTAACACATCAGCCCCAAGAAGATGAAGATGCATCAGGGAATGAAGCAAATGATGAAGCTGATGAGAAACCAGACCTATCTGATCAGAAGATGGGAGCAAAGAAGCGAGCTAAATTAGCTGCTAAAGCACAAAAGAAGGTAGAAAGAGAAGCAGCAGAAAGGGATAGAGGGGAACGTAGGAAGAGGGAACAGCTGCTTCAAGAACAGAGGGATAAACAATCTGAAAAGGAACGTGAAGAGGAATTAAAACAGGAAGAAGCTGAAAGGAAAGCCAGAGAGGAAAAGGAGAAGAAAGAATATGAAGAATATCTGAGGATGAAAGAAGCTTTTAGCGTAGAAGAAGAGGGTTACGATCAGGAAGAGAAAGAAGATGAGGAAAATCTATTAGAACAATTTTTACAATACATTAAGGACAATAAAGTAGTAGTCCTAGATGATTTGGCTGCAATCTTTAATATGAAGGCTTCATGCGTGGTCGAAAGGATTCAGGAGTTACAAGCAACTGGGAGCTTAACAGGAGTAATCGACGACAGAGGGAAATTCATTTTTATCTCTCCAGAAGAGTTTGAAGCAGTAGCGAAATTTGTAAAACAACGTGGCAGAGTAAGCATTTCAGAACTTGCAGAGAATTCAAATCGTTTGATAAACCTAATACCAGAGAACAAAGTCAGCATGGTGGAAGCAAGATAAAGATCTCTATCCGAGTTGTAAAATAATTATGTTGCAATAAATCCGTATATTATTATAAGTGTGATACAAGTATCCATCCAATGTAATATATACATAGATAAACAGAAATATTATATCTAAAATTTTATATAAAAACTGTAGACTTTATTAGATTTTATTTAATTGTAAATCAATATGTTTTTTATAATATAATATCAATCCACGTTACACATTGTTGCATTACTACATAATGGAATCTTCCATCGAAAAAGAGAAGGGGTTCGTAAGGATCGCCACAGAAACTACTCGAACCCGAAGATCCGATCGCTCTGAAATGCCCTGACTTATTCGATCACAGTCAACAGTTGAACAAATATTTACACCGAAAGCACCGTGAACATTTCAACAACAAAAATAAGTCAATGGACAAAATTCGGTTCCCAGACAAGCCCTTTTCGTCTAAAAATGTTCCGTTTGCCACAGAGCAACACCTGATGACACCTGTGCACGATGTTGCATCAGATTCTAGTTTTCCGTTGATAGTATGCCACACGATTTATTTTTTATTTGCGTCGGGATGCATAATTTATATCGTTGGGCAGGGCACTCGGCGCTTACGTCCGCGACATTACGCGAAGTAGCTTCTGTGAAGCAACAAAAAAACAAAAAGAAAAAAGAGCAACAATTATTCTTGCAATCGAGATCCGTTGGGAACTCGGAAATCGTCGGCGGCGTTGAAAAGATTGATGCGCCGTTGATTTACGTTGAGGCCGAGGCGAGGCCCTTTACGACCATTAGGTGTCCCATTCCTCACACTAAAGTTAGTTCAGCAGTCGCGAGGACTCCTAAAATTTTCCTTCGACCGGGAACAAACGCGCAGTTTGTTTTAGGTCGAATGATAATAGTTCTGGTCCTCCCGATTGCCACGGAACGCAGAGAATTATAGCCTTCACGCTATATTCGATGCTTATTTGTTCCCCTCTTTCCCTGATGAAATTCATCTACGTCTTCCTGCGATCCGAAAGACAACACACCTATCTATTATCAGGGCGCACCGCCTTATTTGGAACATCTAAACCGGCTAGCAGTTCGCAACACCTTAGGAAAATTTCATGTATGAATTTTCTCGGGTTGACTAAGGAGTCACCTTCATTAATTCATGTATATCGTTAACGACTCTATTTTCACGATGAAATAAACAAGTTCATCGGCGACCGATTTTCCGGAAGTCACGTTTTTCCTAGAACATAGACGCGAACGTCACGTGCGAACGTTTCGTTAACCGGCCTCCTTCACTTAGAATTTCCTACGACCGCTGGAAGATCACTTCGAAGTTCTGGCCCGACGTCACACCGAAGGTTCGCTTCGATCAAGTCACGTTTTCGAATCACTGATCCCATTAAAAATTCCGCCGACTGATCAGAGGAATTGCGATCGGTCCCCACTCGATATCCCGCGAAGAAGGGGACACCCGGTGTGCTATGTAAGAGCGACGGCACCGCCTGGGAACCTGCAGTCTTCCTGAAGAGTTCGCGCGACGTTCGTTTGCTAAGTTTCGTTCCGCCATTTCGAGCAGCCAGTTCACGATCAAGGGATCACAGGTCAAGACCGGAAGTCCAGATTACGCGGATATCCTGGGGAGTGTTTCGTGCTGATCACCAAGATCTATGTGTCGATGAGGTGCAAGGTCCTAGACTGCCAAGGCAATTCTCCAACATTTTTGCCCAGTGTCAGGTAAGCTGGAAAACCTAAAGAAAACCCGGTTTTCATTCGTCCATTCGCGCGTTGATTGGTCTAAGGACACAAGTGTTGACGATGAATCTTCGAAAGTCGCTTTTGAACGATTCCGCTACGATCTTCGGAGCATGCAGACCTCCGATGACGTTAGCGCAGCGATCAAAGATGGACGTTGATTATCTTGAAACCTGTTTTTTCTTCTGCAATCGTGGATGCCTTTGACGGATTTCGATCTCGATTGCTTCCCAGCGATTCCACGGTCGAATCTCAGTATTTTCTATTCGTTTTAATACGCAGACTCGCTAAAAACCTCCGGACTCGCAAAGGCAGTCGACGCGGTAACGCTGCGAACCGATTAGAACTGTTGGTTCTGGTCCATTTGCATCACGTGCCTTAGAGTGAGTATCTCTCCTGCGCAAGCTGGAAGAACGATGCCTCGTAGTAACAAAGAAACTGTCGATTTCAGGGAATCGAAGTACTGAGTCTTCGTTGGCGGTGTCTCATTTCATTAACACGCTAACACGAAGAGTCCCGGAATTCGTCTTCATTCATCTCAACTACTAAACAAAGGGAAAGACAAAGAGAATCAAGATGGTTTACACTAACATCGCCGCCTCGCCGATAAAGTCAGCCTATTCGGATGCCAGGTAAACTTGAACATTTAAGGAACCGCGTTACGTCTTTGTTCTACAAATTTCTGTTCTTATTCGAGACGAAAATGCAAGAAAGTAATTATTTTTCTCAATTTCTTGCCACGCAGGAAGGAGAAGGGCCCGCAAGCGTCGTCCGTCTATCGCCCGCAAACGCTGCAGCCAACCAAGAACGACAAGTACGGTGCTTGGGGTCCAGTCTACAAGGACAAGAAGAACTTCGTCGACATGCACATTTGTTAACATCGAACAATCATCCTCTCTCGCCCACAGCTAATGGCTCCAGTCGCTTTGATTTGAAAAACTCCCCGGTGATCCAGAAACGACTGAAATAGGGTCGTGACGTAACCTGTAGTCACTTAAATCATTTTGTAATGTGTTAATAAAACTATACACCGCCACGATAATTACGCTCCTTCAAGTTCTCGATTGTTCTCGGAGTCTCGTCGCTACGAATAGATTCCGATCTCTTTTTTAATCGATGTCTCTTTTCATTTGTATGAAATTGATATTTTGTAGAGAACGATGGTTTCTTATAAGCTGGTACTTTGTTGAAATTGATATTATGATAGCGGAATATGTTTTTAACGATTTCCGTTTGAAGCGGGAGGAATGTGGAGCCGCGAGCAAACGGGACACATGCCGAAAAAAGTGCATCGAGGGCTAGTTCCGGCGGATACGACGAAGACAAAGAACACGGAAAAAATAGCCGACGGTATTCCCTAGAGCCGACTGGATGTCTGAGGCAACGCGCGGCGGAATGAAACACGCCGTACCGTGTCGATTTTTACCTCGTCGAATGCCGTGCCAACTGATTCCATAAACAGATCCTGTATATTTTCCTATGATACACCTCGTATATTTCTCTACAGGAGATTCGATAACCGCGACGCATTCCTCAGACGCTTAAGTAGATACTTCCGCCCTGGTCAGACACGTCGGAAATCGAACGCGCGGCGAAAACTGTTGACACACCGACTTCGAACGCTATAGAATAATTCAAACGAAAATATTCAATTCCGTCACGATGTTCACGGCAAGTAAAATTAACGATTTCATTATTTCCTAGCGCAAAGGACACAAAGCAAATTTACTTCATACGAACGTTATCCTAGTAGCAAACAATCGATAACCAACAAGAACACGAGCATTCCATTCATTACAATACTCATCTACTTCGAAGACGAACCACTGAAAATATCTGCGACGAGTATCATTTTTACCGAACAAATCCTCGCCGCAAGTTCCACTCGCAAACGGGGTTAAATTCAGCGAACAATGGATCGATCAAAAGTAAACTACACCGAGCGCGCTAAAAAAAACAGAAGAAAGAAGAAACAGTCGCGTTCGAGAATTGACGGTGTGCTCGAGACACGAGCGAAAATTTCCCGGATGCCCCGCTCTCGGAAAAGCCGTGAAGAACTTCCATCGAAATCCCGACAGCGGTTTCCACCCCGGCCCCGGGAGAAAATGGTAGGGGAAAGCCCTGTATAGCGGCGGCGGGGTGGGGAAAGCGACGAGGGAGCGCTGTGAAGGCAAAGGAGAGAAGAAAAAGAAAAGAGGAGAAGGTTCCTGGACAAACGGGAGCTTCGCGAGCTCGGGGAGGACGAGCGCAACGTGGTGCAGTCGTTGAAAGCGCGTCGACTGGTTCGGGTCTTCCTCTGAATGGAGGGTCGGGGGAGGTGGCAGCGCACGAACCGGACGATCCACGTCTAACGCCGCGTCCGCCTACCCTCTGAGCGACGTTTATTTATTTATTTATAATAATCGAGGAGCGCGGCGCGCCGTTGCGCCTCGCCTGGAACCGGACACCCGACGGACGGCAGGATTTTTTTCTATTTCCGCGCGGATTTGTGCGTCGCGGCGCGAGCCGAGGACGAAGGGAAGAGGAGAAAGAAGGAAAAGTGTCGTTGCTCCGTGGAACGCGAGATACCCCGACGAGTCGACGTCCCGACGCTGCTATTTCGAGGCTGAAACACACCGGTAAGCTTTTGTCAGATCGCCCCGCGGCGGGCCGCTCTCTTTTCGCCGGCGAATTTCAAGTGCATGACTCGCGAGTTTCTTCGTCTACTATGGACAGAAAATCTGGAGTCCGTTTTTCGAGATTCCTAACAGTCTGCCTCTGTACGCACTAAAGAGAATTTAGCACCTCGATGGAAGCGGACGGGTTTTTATCCGAGAAAAATGCTCACCTCCCGGTGCCCGACGATCGTTCTTGTTTTATTCTTCGATCGGCTCGCCGTTTTGCGTTAGAAAGTTGTCAGCACAAGCTGAAGACCATTAATTTGATCCCGGCGCACTGTCCGAGAGCCGATTCAGCTTGAAACGGAACGTTCACTTTTAGGAATCGTTATAAATACCGCGTATAATTTATGCTGATTAGCGTCTGGCTAGAAAGCCACGTGTTTCCGTAATGCAATTTCAATTCTTCGAGCGGCGATATTGCGCGATGAGTATTTAGGTAAACGATTGGCCGGCCGTTACTCGGCACGAGGGTTAAATTGGTGCGCGCCTCGCCGGGCCGAGGGGTAGATCCTTCTACGCGGCGCAATCTAATTGAATAGAGAGATTAACTTTAATTTAAACGTCCCTAAACGTCATCGTACTCGGCCGAACGGTTGCCGGGCTTTACGAAACGGCCGACGTTTTTATGGACCCCGCGGTCGCGATCGGCTAATTGCTCAAAGTGGCCATCGTAAACGATTTTTTCCACATCGCCGGTAAGAGCCACGCTCGGCAATAAACTGTCTACTTTATCCCCTAACTAACTCAAGCCTCGGATTGCGTAAAATGGCGCGCGGGACACCGAATCCGCGCCGATATCCGCAATCCGGTTTTTATCGTCGCCGTGTATCGGTCCGAAGGAAATCCGCCTTCGATCAGCTGACCGTTCCCATCGTCGAACGGTTCTACTTAGTTATTACCGATGTCACTGATATCCTTCTCGCGTGTCCGTCTAATTGCTGTCGGTCGATTTCGAATAAAAATCGCGGAAACGAGGAAGATCCGACAGCTCGTCCTTCTGGCTCTCCTTATCGTTGGAGGTATCGATTGATCGATCGAGGTCCTCGGCTGCGGACCGGAAATAGAGCTTCCTCCTCGCGGAGGATGATCTTCGGCGTGGAACAACGTCCCTTCGGCTCCGGCGCTCCGAAGGGCGTCCGTCACGTCTAAATCCCGACGGTTCTCTCTCTCCCGTCCCTTTTCCTTCCCTGTCGATGGTAAATGCTCGTTGCATCCGTAGGTGCCACGCATTCGGCACCGCTATTTTTGTCGGCTGCCAACAGTTGCTAGTAGACACCCTCTTGCGAGCAGCCGGAGACGGGACAGACGTGCGCGCGCGCGCGTCGCAGTCACGATACCCTCGCGATACCTCTTCGGCGCGTGCCCGAGCGCACTCGGAACCTCATTAGCTCGTGTCCTCGTGGAAAAATGATGAATGGACCGATAAGAATACCCGCGACCGCGACGAAAGGTTCGACCCTTTTGGATATCTGGGACAGACTCGCTGAGTCTGTGGAATTCCTGACACCTTTCTGGAAAACGCTTGTTTCCCTGTAGTTGCGATGATACTTCGGGATTATCATTAGCCTGAGATTAATTACTAGGAGATTCGCAGGCTTATCTCGATAACTAAACTAAAATAGTTACCTACTACCGATAGTTAAATGAGAATTTTCTAATTGATGGAAGACAGTCGCGACCGTAACTCAATAAATATTCTAACTTCTCTAGAGTCGATCAGTTCAAAATGATTAGGCCCGATTATTGAGGAGTCTATTGGCAGGATTTCCATGCATAAAATACCAGCCGCTGATTAGACAGTGAATTTCCCTCGGCCTAGCAGAGCCCATAAAACGTAACAAAGCAGGAAGCGCAGTAAAAGCTTCCTCGGGATTCATTTTCCATTAAAGTCTGCCGGCGAATCGGTGCTCCCCGGGTAACGCCCTCGAACTCGACGATCAGCACGCGCCGTTCGGTTCTTACGACTTATCCGGAAGTCCGAACGTCCCCGGGTTATCCGTGCCATTAGCGGGACTCAAACTTCCTCTCCGGAGAAAGAGGGAAAGCGGCTCGGGAGAAAGAAAAAACAAGAGACTCCGCACACACGCGCGCCCCGTTTAAAGTGGCCGGGATTGATCACGTGCTAGACAAGAAAACGCAGCCAGACGGATGCGCGCCGCGTTCCCCCGCGGGGACGTAAGTAAAGTTTGACAATTGCGTACACAGCCGCGCACGTGTCCGTCATCCCGGAGCCGCGCGTGCCCCGAGTTCGAGTCGGCTAAGCTGAGAGGGGAGCCGGAGAAGCTTAAAGCGAACGCGGATAGGAACTAGGGGCCTAACGGAAGGGAGCATCGGAGGAAGCGGGAGGAAAAAAAGGTAAAAGGAGGGACGTCTTGAAAAAGTTTGTCGTAGCTCGGGGACACCTGAACGGTCTATATTTGTTCGCCAGCGAGAGCGACAAAGCTTCCAGCCGATCTTCCGACTGGTACACGACGGGTCCATCGGTTTTGTCGCGGATTCGCTGGGGGAAACTCGATCCTGCGCGGGGGACTAAATATAACCAGGAAGTAACTGTCGCTGGCGATTCACTTACTCGCGCGTCCTCGTCACCTTCTGGGCCCGGGGTGCGAGCGTGCCACGTGGTAACCGGGCTCAGCCTTGACAGAAGAGACCCGGTGTCCCGGTGTTATTGCCTCGGCCCGAGGGGGCACGCGCGCGTGGGTGCCGAAAGGGCAGGAGGCACCGTCTCCGGCGAGTTCGTTCAACTCGGAGGGGCCGAGGTGACACGGGACACCCAACGCCTCTTCCCCCGAAATCCCGGAAATTTATTGGACTCCTGTTAATCGGGCCGCGGTGGGTCCCCGGCTCGCTGCTAAATACTTCCGGTGGCTGGGTTTCGTTAATCCTTGCGCGCAATTTATGCGGTAGTCTATTTTCTTTTAATGGCTCCGCTGGCGGCTGGTAGCTTGTAGGCTGGTTAGGTTCGCTGATTAAGGACCACCGTGTAGGTTGGCTGCTCGCAGTGTCGACTGGGGTTGCCGCGAGTCTTGGAATCGAACTGCTTTGTGGGAATTTGACGCGTGGTCCTTTTTTATTGTTGTTCTCGCGTTTTGCCTCCTTTGTTGTCGGTTTGTTAGATTCTTGTGTTGTTGGTAGAAGATAGTTCGTGGGATTATTAGAATTGTAGACTATTCGTTTATTATTAATCTTTATTAAACTACAAACTTTAATATACTATATATATATATATATAATCGCTCGAGCAGGTAGAGAGTTCTCTGGAATGCACTTTCTCTGCATCTACCCGCGCATCTTCGCCGCATACATTGATTTCTTCCGACGTAACACGATAAACACCGTAATTCTCATTACAGACGGAACAAACGGTTCTCGTGTGAACTCGTTGACAGGATGTTAACATATCCTGTTGTTAACTTCCCCGGTTACACTTCAATTACAACGAAGCGCGTGCGATCTCACGAATTATTCCGTTCCCCGACGTTCCTGTCTCTCGCGGCGCACAATACACGGTGTCCCCAGGCTTCCCGTCAGCTTTCCTCGAGCAATCAACATCTCAACGTGCTCCCATAGAGACTTAAATATCTAACAGGCGAGAATTTAGATTCACCTCGCACCTTCGCCGGATCTCTCTAACCCCTTTCACGCGGGCAACACCTCGGAATGGAAAACACATGAGCAACGCCCCCTCTCGAGGAAAGGATCGCTCGATGGACGGCCTGCTCACGATCGGAGCCCTCCGTACGATTTTTCGGCGCCTAAAACGAAAATAGACCCGGGACTTCACGGACACCCAGTATTTACACTCCGCCCCCGTGTCCCAGCCCCCCGCGGCCGGCGTTTCTTCCGATCGCTTCCGTCGTTTAATTTTAGCGAGAAAATCTCCCGTAAACGTCCTATATTTACCCGTTTGTTCGTGAACACCGGGGAACACAGGAATTTCCGCGATGCCCTTTTTCGCGGCCGGTACAGACGCACCGGCGGGGCTCTATTTCTAAGTCGAGCGCGTCGACGACGTCCCCGACGGCCGGCCGATTCCGTTTCACCGGGGGCGCCGCCGGTGCTAATGCAACAGAAACCGAAAAAAGACGAGCGCGAGCCGCGGAGGAAGATAAAAGAACGGCCGCCGGGGCGAAAGAAGAGGAAAGAAACCGAGCGGGGAACAGGAGCAAAGCGAAATCGTCGATTTCCTCTCGCCTCGCCGCTTGGGAACGGAACCGGGGAGGAAAGAACGCGGAGCGAATGGTGGGGCGAAGTGTCTCCTAAGAATAGAAGAATCCTTTTTTCTTTTCTAGTTCGTCCCTCTTGTTCTTCCGACGTGCGATTGTCGGGGGAGTCCGCGTACCTGCGCGGAGAACACGGGAAATTCGTCTCGCGAGAGCCGCGGCGTCTCGGAACCGGACGGCGGAGCGGCCGAGGGTTTTGGCTCTGGACGCGGCGGGACCGTCTCGGTTGCAACAGTTTAAAAATATCGATTCCTGGAACGGATCGCAGAAATCGAGCACCGAGATATCCAGTCCTCTTCCTCCTCTTTGTTCCATGTATAACGCGGACGGACCCCCCGCGAACCTAAAGGCGTGGTTACAACTCGCCGCGGCGCGCGTGTATACACGCGCGCATCCGCTCCGGCTCGTCGCCCGGGCTAAATTACGCGGCTCGAATTAACTTTGTGGATCCGGGAAAGTCGGGAATCGCGCGGAGGACCGTGTTTTCCTTGTGAAACCGAGCTTCGACGGAATTTGTTAAACTGAAATTGGCATTAGAGAAGATTATTGAATAACATGGATGACTTTTAATTTTTTCCACTGGAGTAGAGTCAGTTTGCTGGCGTTCTCACTTATCTATAGATCTTTGTATTTAGTTTCAATGAAATACTTCTAGCATTATGAATATTCAAAATGTTTCTTTAGTCACTTTCGAAGTAGATGAAATATTATTTTAAGGGTTACTCGTGATTATAATTTGATAGACTTTCATCATTATTATAGTAGAGCGAGGTAGGAGAATGGTTTATTCAAGTGTCTCGAGAAAATCTGAATGGATTTTCGAAGAATCTTGAACCGAGCGTTTGAAAATCGAAGGAATCTACTCGGCTAGTTTGAATCGGGCGCGCGTAAGAATCGCGTAGGTGTGTCTCGACGGGTAAAATATTTTCCTGGTCGATGGGAAGTCATGTACCGACAGCTGGTAGCGGATTCTCAGACGCGAAGGCTCGTTCCTCCGGTGATCGCATCTCGGAAGAATGACGTCTACCGGTGCGTCGAGACGGCGACGGTCGTCTCACCCGAAATAGATCCTCTATCCCGAACGCGAAGACGACTGGCGAACCAGCCAGGGAAACCGGTTGCTAGGGGAAAAACGAATCCCTGGTTCAGATGGGTTTATTAACGATGATACCGGCGAGATCACGCGACAGGATACGACCAGGCCGAAGTGAAAGAACCGCGGAACGCGTGATCGTAAGCGGAGTAATGCGGTCAGACTTATGAAAATCTCATTCTACTTAGTCTTCTTTTCCCAAAGGATTTAGCGTTCCCAACTATGCCGCATAATTCAGGATGTTCTGCGGATCTGGGATCAATTCGCTGTTCACTGACGAGTGTTTAAGACCAGTTTACGACCAGTACCTTTTCTCCTTCGAATATCATAAATTTCGGGACTTTTAAATGGAAAACTTCGTGGATACACTGTAACGAACGTTCAAGAAAAGAGTGTTTGACTCTAGTAAAAGTTACTATTAGACTTTTGGCTCGATGGATCATCGATAATTCTCTATCTATGATGAATTCACGTGTGCCTAATAATTCATATTTATAGAAATCGGTTCTCCAGTTTGGGAACGTTGTCGGTACCGGTGAAAAGTGAAACGGGTAGCCGGATTGTTTGATTTAAATTCGGGAGGGGTCGCCGTTTCGGGTACAAGGCCGCACATGTCGGCCGTTGGAGTTAGGTACACGAAAGACATATGGGACAGGGGGGCACACGAGCAAACAAACTAGGCCTTTATTACCTGAAGACATTTTCAAGTAATCATCTGCGCCGCTCCACTTCCGCCCGAGCCGCGAACGCCGTCGAGCTCGTTACGCTCGAGCAGCCAAACATTCGATTTTAACCGGGGGAGCCCCGCGCGGCGCGCAAACGGCGCGATCGGTTTAGCGCAGTGCGGAATTCTTCGGGGTTAAATATCGTTACGAGCAATATAAATCGAATATTATTTCCCTGCGCGCGTTACGCGAGGTAACGGGACCGATAAGAACGCCGTTCCAGCGGGCCGGGACTTTCTAGAAAATGGATCTCAAGTTTGCGGCTGTCGCGAGTTACGCTCCGTTTCAATCATTCGATCGGATAAATTGTTATTTATACGGTGGAAACAGGCACGGCAGAAGGAACCGTTCGGTTAAACGAAACGGCCACGGTGATTCGTATTAATAGCGGCGGGACGATCGCGAGCCCCGGCGATTTCTAAACGGATTAAACGCGTTCCCGTGTTCGATCCGCGATTGTAAAAGTATGCTCCCGGGAAGGCGGGGTCACGGTTTGGTCAAAAATCCAGAGAAATCCCGGCGATCACTATATTTGGCCTTCTGACTCACGGCACGGTTGCGCGGACGAAGCGCAAGCTTTGAATTCTACCGCGCCATTTTGTCTTCTGCCGCATCAGATTCTTCGAGCGCCTTCGGCTTTTTTCATCGGCGCGTATCTGCTGGCGAGGCTATCCTCGGAGCTTTAATCGATTCCCGTTTACTACGATAGAATGGAAATAATAATCTTGATAAACGCACTTCAGGCGTGGCCGCCTTAAAACGTTTCTCTTCTTGTCGGTACCGAGATTTCGAGGAAATTATTTAATCGGTTTTATTGCCGTTGCATTTCTGTTTCCTTAACTACGCTCGGAAGACTCCGTTTCCATGGAGATTTACAGTCTAGATACCGGTAATAATTTCTTCATACTTCTCGTAATCTAAAGAACTTTAGACGAATGACGATTGTCTCCATGGAAAACTAGAGAACCATAGCAGAGACCAAAACACTGTTTCATAAAAGTACAATTCAAAGTTACATCGTTGTTTTGTTACAGTTACAAGATACTGATTATATAATCATTGTTCCAGCTGTTCTGCGAATGCATTGTAAAAGGTCATCGTCTACTTAAGCGACACAATGAGGGCGCGAGACTCCATGGTGTACACTCCGGTGTCCCTCGGGCCGGACACGGACGACGAGGAAACGCTAGTCAACGCGGAAGTCTACAGCAATGGTGAGTGTTCGCACACGTCTCGAATAGCTTAAGATATCTACGAATAATTACAATCTTCGACGAACGAGCTCCGATAAATCAGATCTCCTGGCGCGATTTTACCGACGAGCGGTAAGTCAGTTCCCGTCGCGGCGATCCAGGGTTAGTGGCCTCCGGCCTTCGCTCGCGCGTCCCCGCAGGAGGATCCTCTATCAGCCCGATGCTTAATGTTGCCTAACGACGTTAATAGCGTTTTGTGGCGGATTTTTACGCGACCCGGATGAATTCGCACCGTAGATAAATAGCCGAGATCTCGTATCGCCGCGAACGATCCAGGAGCAAATGATCCAGCAGGAAGACCATTAAGGACGAAGATAGATCCACCATTACGCCGTTAAACGGTCGCTTATCGCGCTCAGATTAAATCGCCATTCAAAATACAAGGGAAATCTCCTGGCCGCTCGTTAATCGAGGGATGCCATCCTCGTTACCATTCAGAAACATTTAATTACTCGGCGAACGATGTTCGTAACTTTTCAATTGAAAACTGTATAATTAGAGGCTTCGGCTTTAATACGTTCCGAGGAAAAACAGTCGAACGATGGGAAACGGAGGAATAGTTGATGTCTCTCGTCCTTAAAAAACCAAGATGGCGTCGACTGGGGCCGGCATTTTTCCGTCGACCACGGTTCCACGTTGTCTCGAACCCGGGTATTCCTGACCAAGTCAAGCCGGATACGATTGGAAACGAAGACAGACACTCTGAGTCAGAGGACACCTACACGACTTCCGAATTCGAAGTTCGCGGTTATGCACTGTATGTAGGATAGAGGCGCGGGGGCGTGGCGTATGTACGCAATAACCGGCGCGCCGGCCGCGTCAGACTCCGTTTTTGGCAACGATAATACGCTCACCTGGAAGAGCATTGTTTAATCGCGACGGGGACTCCCTTATCTTCCCGCGGAGGAACCGACAGCTCGAGCCGCGGGAAACGAACGCGATAATCCTGCGCAAATATTGAACGGCTCGGCGGGTTCTCGGTATCGTAGTTCTCCTAGAACCTTGTCGTCTTCGGTGATATCGGCTATTAAACGCGATGATTATATTCCATCGAACTCGATCGCTTATCTTCCCTTTTCCACGATAAATATACATCCCCGTAATTGCTACACGCATCGTTCTTTACGAAACAGATCACTGCGAGATAGTAAACTATTTTATCCCTACCATCGTCGACCGACGGCGAACAGAAATAAATCAGCAGACCTCGCGGAGGTGAAAATCCGATCTCGTAAAAGAACGACTGGAAAACGAAAGCGCGATTATTCACCGTTCGAAAAATACACCGAAAACCGTTCAATGACTCACGCTTTCGGTTTCATTCTTCGAGGAACCGGCGCGATGGAAGGCGAGTCCCACGTTTCCGGTTCGCGACAATGAGCGCGACCGATCGCGATTCGCGACGGCCGACGTTATCACTGCCTCTCACGAGGGAAAAGAAGTTCGCCCGTAATCCGCCGCGCGTCACCGCTTCCCCGTAATCGCGTGTGGCGTTGCTAAATATACAGGAAACGACGGCGAAACACGAGCAAAATGATATCCTGATTTATACTCGGCTATTGTCGAGGCGGTTACGAGAGAGGCACGATGCAGCGTTTCGCGCGAGCCGGTCGCCGCGACGAGATAATCGGGTATTTGTCCGCCTCGCGACGATAAGGGGGCAAGAACGGCCGGGAAGAGCACCCTACGAGAGGACTGTCCACTCGGGTACACGCTCGATAAGTATTATCTCGGGCTGGCGCCGTCTAGAAATTCCGTTAATTTCCCAATCGCGCCGGTGTTCCCGCGCGGCGGACGATGGAAACGCGCAGAGGCGAGTGGCACCTTTCCGCGCCTCGCGGAGGAAACATAAATCGATCGGCGGATGGCCGAGGATTGGCAGCCATCGAGCTTTACGATCGGTTTCCTGCGCGCCGGAGAAAGTAACCGGAGTCGTAGAAAACCGCGGTTTAGTTTAATTATGCGCGCCGCCATCGCGCGAGTGTGGGTAGCGGGCGAATATTCCATTTTCTTCCGTCGCCGGCCGGGTCGGACTTTTAGATGCTCGCTGTCTATAAACCCGGCCTGTCATAACCGGCGACGTGTTTATGGACGCAGGCGTTGCATTATCTCCTGAAGCCCGGCCACGAATCTCCCAGCCGATACACCCATCCCGGACTTTTATATCGTCTTTACTGCTAGATTTTACCGTGTCCAGAGCTGCGCCGCGGCCTCGCTAAGTGGAAGGTGGATAAACACTTTAATTAGCATCCAACGCGATTTTTCCTCGATCTCTTTTTACGCCTAACCCGGAGAAATACGCGTTTAACGCTAGACCTACCAGGCCGGTCAAAATGAGCCATCTGGACGTTCTTGTTCCACGATCGTCGAAACTGCGAAGACGCTTTTGCGAGAAATTAGAAAGCGGATCGGTGTACTTCTGCGAATACATCGGTACGAGTTTCGAATCTCGCGGAGTAGAATTTTTTCATTTTTTTAAGGCATTATGGAGGCATCAATCCAAGTGCTCTGTAGTTTTAGCGTCAAACTCGTGTTACGTTTGGCCCGAATGGCTCTCGCAGTAGGTTGTTCCTCCGCCGGCCGGCCCGCCGAACGGCGAGAGAGCTTTCTCTGTGTCATCCTCGTTTATCTCCGCGGCCCCGTCACAATGATCTCTTCATTGTGGCGAGCGTTCGCTCCCGAGTAATCCGAATCCGCGGTATCCGGACGCAGATAACGGGGCAATAAACGGAACGCGCGGCCAGCCGTTTACGAGCTTTCGTGGATAATTGTAATTAAGTTACGCAGTACCCCTTTTTCATAATATCTCGCCGCGTTTCCTGTCTTCCCGCTGCCCGATATCGGCCCGTCTCTTTTCGTTATCTTTTGGCGGAGGTCAGTTCATGCTTAACGCCGATTAAGCGTGGCCACGCGCGTCATCCCTCGATGAACCTTGTTGTTCCTACAGCTGGAGATCTCGCCGGCAATTGTGATTTACAGTACGCAAACAGAGCAATTATCTTCTTTATCGCTGTGCGGAGTGCTGGGTGGTATTGCCGATCGCGCGTTGAGCATCGTAGCGACGTTGTAGAAGCTACGTTGACTTCAAACTTGATCCGTAAGAGCCTCAGATCTCCACATGGTTCCTATATTTTCCATCCTGCAACATATCAAACCTCACAGTACAAAGTAAAACACTATACTGTAAAAAGCACACAACTGTTTCCAATCGCAACAGTCGAACCTCTAGCCCCGAAATTCATCGATAACCATAAAACCCTTGAAAACTCAAACAGAAATAACGAAACGCTGGATTAACAAAGGAGTACGAGCTATACTTTTTATCCTACAACATATCAAACCTTACAGTACCAAGTAGAACACTGAAATAATCCTCTATACTATAAAAAGCACACAAATGTTTCCAATCAACAGTTGAACCTCTATGCCCGAAACTGATCAATAACCATAAAATCCGTGAAAACTCAAACAGAAATACCAAAACGCGTAACAGAACTAACAAAAGAGCACGACAAAGATAAAATTCCCAAGGTGGCAGCCAAAAATATTCACTCGACAGCGAAAGAGCCCAGTTTCATGTGTCTTGTGGTCAAACATCGCGAAATTTCCGGCGCCAAGGATCCGTTCACTGGTCACAAACCCGATACACATCTCGATCCACGTTCGCCGGGAGCGCGTCCACCGCAAA